CTTCTAGTTGCTGTATGTGGGACGCGGCCTCAGCATGGCCGGAGAAGCGGTGCGTCAGTGGGCGCCCAGGATCCGAACCTGGGCCGCCAGCAGTGGAGCGCGTGCACTTAAAAGCCACCGGGGCGGCCCTGGACATTTTTTTTTTTAACTACATAGACACACAAAGGAAACATGTGTAATGTCCTACATAATCTGGAAAACTACAAATTGCAAATTTCCCAACTCATCTATTTGTTTCTTCTTTAAGACAAGAAATAAACACCATAACAAGGATTACGGCCCTTATTAATGAAAACTACAGAATTTTTGCCTTGAGTGCGTGTCCAGCCTAGTATCTGGGATGTCAGTTTTAAGGGACCCGGCCTCATATGGAAGAGCTCCAGGACCCGGCCAACCGTGTCACAGACACTGGCAGAATACGCGGCGAGCAGAGCTGAAGTCTACCCTCGCTGCTGGGAAACAGGTGCTTGCACCAGGCTGAAGGTGTGCGGGCCGTCATCTTTGCACAGGAAGGAGAACATTCAAATCTGAACTTGGAAAAGAGAATCTGCCAGCCCCAGAATGGAAACCTCCGACCACCACTAGAGGGCGGTGTGATGCATGTTATTGGCAACCTGGAGACCAGCCAGGCGCATCCAGGGCTCTTGAGTCGCGAATTCACTGATTTCAAAAACGGGCCTTCTTGTCGGAGCCACAACAGAACGCAGGTGTGAAGGCTGTGAATCTCAAGAAAACCGAGCCTTATACTGTTTGGCTTCAAATGTTCCACTAACTGGGACAAAGCGTGGACACGTTGGTTTTCTTTCCCCATTTCACTCCCTTGATTAGAAACTTGGAAAATGCACACCATAAGAAAACGTAGGGTTCATAAGGGCGTTCAGGAAGCCTATAGAGATAAGGGGGCTAGAACGCTCCAGGGCCAGACTCCCTGGGCTTAACTCTATTTCCCCGTCCCAGGTCATCTCCCCTCTCCAGTGCTGAGCCCCAAAGGCAGGGAGACCCCTATGGCGCGTCCCCAATGCCTGCCCACATTAGCAGCTCAGGAAACCATGTGTGGGGCGGAACTGAGCAGGAGCCAGCAGACGCGCCCTATCAGCGGTGCTGGCCGCCACGGGCTCACCATCGGGAAACTCAGCTTCTGGGTGATCTCCTTGTAGTCCTCGTTCCTCTCCTTCACCTGGGACTGCCCGGCCGTCAGGTGGCTGCACACGAAGCAGAGGCTGGTGCTGTGGAGCTGGAAGCGGATGCCCACGGCACCTTTGTTCCCTGCCTTCCCTCCCATGCCCGTCTTCACCGTGTCGATCGCCACATCCCTGGAACAGAGAATGTGCACACGCGGTGACTTCTCAGTGGCTCCGAAGGAAAAGCATGAACTGTTTTGCTACAGAGAAGAGCTGGGTAGCAGTGCGAAGCTTGCGGCTCTGAAGACTCCAAAGCCGTCAGCTCAGAGACTGTTTAGTCACGTCCTCAGCAGCCAGGCCACAGCGACCAGCGTGACCGCCATCAACTCTGTCATCACTCCTAACCTCCTTCCTCTCACTGCCGGTTGTTGCCTTGTGGGAGGTTTGGAGGATCGGCTGCAGGGCCCCAACTCTGAAATGCTCTGCACTCACAAAAGCACCCCTGAAGCCCCAGCGAGGCTGAATCACCTCCATCCCTGCTTTCCGCTTCCTTTTCTCATTCTGGCTACAGAAGCAGCGTGGACATAACCACCCTCCACCCCACCCCATGCAGCTTTCCTGTACAGCACAGGAGGGACCTTCAGCTAATCCACATTTTAAGACACAGGAAACATCCAGTTATTTATGCTGGGCTGGGTAGGTGGTTTCGAGGCAGACTCCTGCTTGCATTAAAATGCCAACTTATAATGCACACAGGACCATGGGCTGAAGCCCGGACTGAGGCCCACACCTGTTCTTGGGACGACCACCTGGCAGATAGGTGAGGGGGTAACTGGCCAACAGGTGTGCGAGCTAGTAAGCTGGAGGCTGAAGGAGCGAGAGTCGAGGACACAGGTGTCCGGGACCTTAGGTGGCGTCTGGGAAATCTGGAACTCCTCAGCATGCCGCCCTTTCTCATGTTCATCCCTAACCTCCGCCCTAACCCTCCCTTTACTCTAACCTTAGCTGACCTTCACTCACTCACTTTGGACACTTCCACACTGCCATGACAAACAGTCAGGGGGACGGGGACGTCAACATTTTCCCAAAGTCACAGAAGAGGATCATGAACACGGAGCACAGTCTTGGTCTCCAAGTGCTGCCATGGGCAGACCTGGGGCCCTCTAAACACGTGGAGGAGTTCAACCCGGGAGGACAGAAGGCTGGCTCAACGCCTGGTATCGGCAATGAGAAAGACCGGAGGAAATTCTCATGACGCGAATGAGCCCAGGCAGCAATTGAAGCTATGAGACGGTTGAGGGAAGAGGTGAATTCCTCTCAAACCTTAAAACACAAACGCATGCACACACACACACATGCACGCACACCTTTTCCTAAAAGAACACTCATTTCCTAAGGTTTCCCCCTTTCTGACATTTACAAAGCTGTCACTTTGGTGACACTTTGGGTGACAGTGGTAGAGGCTTTCTGCCCACACATCTTACTTAGAATTCTTTTTAAAAGAGACAAAAGAATTGGCATTTCCTGATGAGGCACTCAGCTCTTAGTCAGAGGTTTCCCGTCTAAAATTTCAGCAAGTAATCCCCTTCCTCATGCAAGACTGAGCTTGGGTGACAATGATCATGAAACATTCCGTCTAAAAGAGTTCAGCTTCCTGAGCTAGAAGGTTTCCATTGTGACTTTCTGATTGCTAGACAATATTCTATTCAGCCTAGTTTTTTCTCGGGGGTTTTGTTACATTTTGCTAGAATAATGGCAGGTTCTGATTCCTGTTGCAGGAGGGGAGGAGGAGGAGGAAGTCAGAACAAAACAGCAAGACAAACAATCCCGTGTTCCCCCCAGATGTTCAGAAACTAAATGTTCTTACCTGATGAATGGGACATGGTACGGACGCACAAAGATATAAAGACAGACGCCCACCAGCTGTGCCGAGGTCAAGAGAATGTACCTATGAGAGCGTGATATGGCTTTCTGAAGCTGCTCACCCCACATCTTCCTGTTGGTGGTACTGGGAAGGAAAAGAAAAGAATGATGCTGTTTACAGTGAGCTGGAAGTGGGCTCTCCCACCCACAAACTCCTGCAGCTCTTGGTTTATTCTTCTTACAGAACTGATTGTGTACTGCCTGCAGTCCCATTTTAGTGTCATGCCCTAATTCCTGCCACGGACTATCCACATATTTCTGGTTGTGTTGTAGGCATCACTGCACATACCCCTTCCCCATCCCCCGCCTGAAACCCACCCAGGACCTTGCTCATAAGAGCTCCAGAGAATCGGGTTTTATTATCGGTTCAGAAAGTTCTTTGAAATAAAGCTGCACCAGTATTATTCACAATAGCCAAGACGTGGAAGCAACTGCCCATCAACGGATGAATGGATAAAGAAGATGTGGTATATATATACATATATATACACACAATGTACATATATACATTGTATACATACACATATATACATATAAATACAATATATGTGTGTGTGTGTATATATAATATATATACAATGGAATACTACTCAGCCATAAAAAAAGACAAAATCTCCCACTTGCAACAACACGGATGGACCTTGAGGGTATTATGTTAAGTGAAATAAGCCAGAAAGAAAAAGACAAACACCATATGATTTCACTCACATGTGGAAGATAAACAAACACATAGATAAGGAGAACAGATTAGTGGTTGCCAGAGGGGAAGGGGGTGGGGGAAGGACGAAAGGGGTAAAGGGGCACATATGTATGACGACAGAAAAAAACTAGACTATTGGTGGTGAACATGATGCAGACTATACAGAAACTGATATATAATAATGTACATCTGAAATTACACGATGTTATAAGCCAATATGACACCAATAAAATAATTTTTTTAAAAAGCTGCACCAGTATAGGGGGAAAAAAGTCCAGCGGCCCTTATACCCAATGCTAATGCAGTGTTTTTCTTTCCTCCATACCTGCTGGAGAGAAGAGGAGTACCTCCTCCCCGCACTCATGCTTTCTCACCTTTGCCCAGGAATCGTGAATCAGCACCCTCCCAGCCCAGCCCTCAGCCCACACCCTCCAGGCTCACACAGGCCAGCTTGCAGCACGAATGAGCCTCCACAAGTGGCCGAGGTGGCAGCACCTCATATACAGCGATAACCCGCCCTTCCTTGGATTTCCTTAATTAGCAGAGAAGGAGGAATGGGGAGGTGCGTATCTGTGCCTATGGGGAAGGACCATTCCATCAGTCAGAAGGACCCACCCATCGAGGGGCACAGGTTAGCGTATTCAGACACAGGACTCAGGGGCCCTGCTCCCAGCCAGGCACCCGGCTCGGGAAAACCTGGGTGAGTTTCACGGCACCCTCTTGCACCCCTCGTGCCTGGCCGCCTACCTGGCATTGACAATGTTCCCTGCGCTCAGCTCCACCATCTCCTCAAAGCCCACGGCAAATATGTCAGCCGGGCTGCTGTCATCTGGAGAACAAGGCAGGAGATGAAGGAAATCAGACCCAACAAGGACTGTTACCCGACTTGTGGGGCGCCACATTTGCCTCTGTGAGCCCCACTGTCCCACTGCCCAGTCACTCATCCAGGCCACAAGGGCAGAGTGTGGACCTTCCCTCCGTCTCCCACTGTGCACACGCCTTCCTCTGTCTACACCCCGGGGCACGCTGCTAACCTCTCCATCCCCTGCTTCTGTCTCTGCAAAAGGGCCAGTAACCGGCACCTCCCAGGGTGGTCAAGAAGTGTAAATCAGATGGCACGTGTAAGGTAGCTTACACGTGGGCCCCCCATAATCCTGTCGGCCCCTCTTCCTTCCTGAGAACTTCCACATACATCAGACCCCTGTCCCCGACCAGACCTAAGGTACTTGGGCCAGTGCTGTCTCCTACTTGTCTGTGTCCCTCATGTACTTTTCACAGGGCTGGGCCCAGCCTTGCCTGGTTAATGACTGACTGTGGTCACAGTTGTCCTGGGGGGCAGAGAAGACCCAGCCCTGCTCGGGAACCCCTCTGACGAAATCTGCTACAGAAATGCCTGGTTTCCAGGAAGGACAGCGAGCCAGGAGGTGTTACTCATCCCTTCTCTCTTTGTTCCCTTTCACAGGGAAGGCCAGGGTTTAATATAACCCTGCAGTCATTTGCCACATCTCTCTAGTCGTGTCCTCCTGATGCTCAGAGGCCTGAGCCATCAAGCCCGGCTGCAGTAGAAAGTGACATCCTCCCTCCCCGACTGCATCGGGAAAGGCCAGGCTGTCCACTCCCTCCCACAAGGCAACCTGGAACTTCAAGCTTAACCGGCTTAGAGTTTCTTTTCTCTTCTTTGTTTAAAGAAAAAATATGTTTTCCTTTGTTTGATCTGCCTGGCAACACAGCACTCCTTCCTTCTCCTGAATCTGGTGAGTTTCTAGTGGGAGCAGGAGTGGGCCCACTGTCACAATAAAATCCCCTGCAGAGGAACAGCCAGCTTGTTATTGCCACCCACTCCGTTCCTGCAGGCGAATGCAGAGGGAGGAGGGAAGCTTCTTCAGGCAAGGCTGCACTAATGTTCTCACATTTACAGAGCCTGCTCCGGTGGGCGTTCAGAACAGTCACCCCCAACACGGACAGAGAATCTCAGTGACTCCGATCTGTGGACTCAAGCTACCCTGCCCCGCCGAGGCAGCAAGGGGGGTGTGGACAGTGCATGGGACAGCAGGGGACAGGGTGCTGGGCATCGCCCGGGGCAGCTGTTGAGAAGGAGAGGCTCCTGCACATCAACAGGAAGAGAACTGACTCGCGAGTATCTGCCAGAATCCAAGGAAGCTGGAAAAAGCCAGGCCCCTGGATAAATGCTACCTGGAGAAAAATCATTTATTCTTCAAATCCCGAGTTCTGAGGCCGTTAAATATTAGCTTGCATGATATAAGATAAAGGGTTGAGGTGTCAAATTTGGAATTATTTTATTCTTAAAAGGTACACAGGGCCGGCCCCGTGGCTTAGTGGTTAAGTGCGCAGGCTCCGCTGCTGGCGGCCCGGGTTCGGATCCCGGGAGTGCACGGATGCACCGCTTCTCCGGCCATGCTAAGGCCGCGTCCCACATACAGCAACTAGAGGGATGTGCAGCTATGACATACAACTATCTACTGGGGCTTTGGAGGGAAAAAATAAATAAATAAAATCTTTAAAAAAAAAAAAAAAGGTACACAAATTCTTTCATGACTACTTAAAGCAGATGAATATAGTCACATAGTTGGTTTGGGAAAAGGCAGAGACAAGTCATTCTTGGTCAGAAGCAACATGAAAGGAGCACCCAGCTCCTTACGGTGACACGGCTCTAGAAGCCACATCATCCTTACAACAAAAGGTTCTCATGATCGAAACCTAAAACTGCAAAATCTCTATATGTGAAGAGAAAAGAGAGATTCGCCACTTTGATAACTCTTCTAAACACTTGGAAAACAGAAGGCACCAAGCAGTTAATTCACCCGTGTTCTGGAAAGTCAGACCACGGCGCTTTCTAAACATTCCAAGGAGTGAGAACGCCAAACACCAGATTTCACAAGTGAACGAATCTGGAAGAGGTCAGACCCAAGGGCTCGATGGAATATGTATTTTGTTGTCACCGAAGCCACAGTGCTCACCCTGGGATTCCTCGACTCCGGACAGTGTGGGCGAGTCGAGCAGCCAGTCAGCCAGCTCCCCTGTCCCAAGGAGGTTGCTCCTGAACTGCTTTCCCCCATTCACGTTCCAGGTTCCCATGGCAATACAGAGCCGTTTGAAATTTGTGAATTCCGACTGGCGCTCCGTCATCGCTCTCAGGATCCTGGGAGTCACTGTAAGGACACATAAAAAGGGCATGTTTGCCTGCACTCCAAAACCCCACACATCCCCCAAAACACAGATGGGGCTCCCTGTCAGAGAGAGAGGAATTCACGATCCTATAGATATGAGCCAAACAATGCTCCTTACGCAGATGACAAGAGCTTAGAATCCTGCATAACCAGTACACTTCCCTAGGGCATCTTTGCCACAAAGTCCTGAAAACACGGATGTTCCTCCCTCCACACCCTTCCCCCAACCAGAGCCACAGAGGTTGTGACATCAGATCACAGGGACTCTCATCCTCAGCAATCCCTCCAGGATCCAGTGGGAATTTAGGCAAGGGGACATCGCAACTTACTATAGTTCAAAATATATATAAAACTTTAAATGTCTCACACCCATCTTGGCATTTTCCACCTTCCATCTTGCATGCCTGAAATGTTCTGTTTTACCTCAGACTCAGGGCTTTAAAAAATCACTACTCTGAACCACGTCCATCCTCTAGATTTCCAAAATGTATTCCATTTTTAAACTAGTGACTTAACCCACAACTAAATCCTATCCGCCTTGCTCCTAAATAAGACTCACTGTACTACTCAGAGCTCCTCTCAGCTTTTACTGAGCTGGCCTGATTTCCAGGACAGACAAATAGCACCTTGGCTATTAGAAGCCAAATAAGAGTTCCCCTAGTGATGGAAGAATGACAGTAGAAAAGGGCTGTGAATTATTTTAAACATGGGCCAATTAATTTTTCAAAAACACCGAAAATTTCTAAAACAAGACTTATACATTCCTATAAGGAAAAATGCTGGGTCTCCCCTTCTTTTCCATTCACTCTATAATGTTTACAGGCTCTATGGGATAAGAAGCCATTAAAATTTTCCCAAAGAAACCACTAGCTCACTTATCTGTGGAAACTAAAAAAAAATCAACAACAAAAAAGCCCCCAAAAAACTGAACTCAGATACAGAGAACAGACTGGGAGTTGCCAGAGGTGGGAGATAGGGGGTGGGTGAAATGGGTGAAGGGGATCAAAAGGTACAAACTTCCAGTCATAAAATAAGTTCTGGGGATGTAATGTACAGCATGGAGACTATATTTAACAACACTGTACTGTACATTTGGAAGCTGATGAGAGAAGTCTTAAAAGTTCTCGTCACAAGAAAAAAATTGTAACTGTGTGGTGATGGATGTTAACTAGACTTATTGTGGTGACCATTTCCCAATATATACAAATATTGAATCATTATGTTGTACACCTGAAACTCAGAGAATATTATGTCAGTTGTCTCTCAAAAAAAAAAGGAAACCATTAGCTATTGACGGAATCATGACAGTCTCAGCCCCGAGAGCAGAAGGTGTTCTCATCCCAGGAGATGACTGTGTCCTTTGCCCTCCTGCACTTCTACAGGGTCCCGGGGCCACCCTCACAGGAGACTCCGGGGGACAAATGAGACCGGGCAATGAGACCAAGAACCCATTCGGGCTGAGAGTTTCTAGTGTGAGTTAGCACTCAAAGAAATGGACACTTTTAGAATAGCACACTGACTGCTGTTGAGTCCTCTTGATTTCTCCCCTCCTCTGGGCTTGGAAACATAGTCCAAACTAAGAGAGTACAAGAGCAGGCTCATACTCGAGGCCAGAAAGAACCGACTCCCAGGAAGTACAGTGACAGCCAGTATTGCACATATCTTTTTATTTTCTGTATATTATGATGTTTGTCATCTTAAAAAACCTTTCTGGCTGGGGAGACATGGCCCCTCCCAGGGCTAGTCAATTCTTAGACTCAGCCAAGAGCGTGGGTGTGATGTGCAAACTAACCAATCCTGAGTCACCTCCTCTGTGGGCCCTCACACCCTGGAGGCAATATTCCTCTGCCTTAATCATCCCAGGAACTGGTACCATCCAAGTAGATCCCACCTCTCTAGCCCAAAGCCCACAGGAAATATTCAAGTTGGTCAACCCTAAGCTGTTCACTCTGCCCCACCTTTCTCTCTGAAGCCCCAGTAAAGGAAACTCCCTTAGCTCCTGCCTCCTGCCCACCCTGGGGTTTTCCATGTGGCCCTGCATGCCGTGCCCATCCCCCATCTCTAGGACTTGTGAGTATAATAAACTTTGTTTCTTCCTGAGCCCTTCCTCTGCCTCCTCTTGTGGCTGCACATGACTAACTAACTCCCTCATAAAAGAACACAAAACACAGCCGCAAGATGCTTAGGTCAACTGGTCAACCTGAAGTCATGGGCTGGAAGTGCAGAGCCCAGAAGCTCTCTCCCTCTGTCCTACAGCTCAGGGGAGTGTCTGCCACCCGCCACCTGCGATTACATGGGGAGGGGTGGGAAGGGCTGGCTAGCATGCCACCTCCCACGCCCTCCGGGTGGCAGGGCAGCTGGACACCTCCTTGCAGGCAGAGCGGGAGCCCCTTACCCAGCAGGGCCGTGTTGTCCAGGAGCATCCTTCCCTTGTCTGTAGACTCCTCGGTGTAGACGTCCCCAACCAGCAGCAGCCTGATGGCCTCCTGCTTCACCCCATCAAAGAAGTTGGACTGGATGGTTCGAGACACGGACCGGGCCCCGTCCTTCAGCTTCCCCACCTGCCGTGAGCCAGACCACAGGCTGTGAGAGGGATCCATGCAGGGCCCCATCCTCTGCCCAGGCCCCCACCCTCCGCCCACAGCCCACCCCTACCTTGGCTTTCCCTTCCAGGGCGCGGCTGCCCGTGAACATCTTGCTCAGACTGTGCCCATTCAGAGACCACATGGCTTTGAAGGACTCCACGAAGCGGTCAGCAATGGGCTTTGAATTCAGCCCTAGGCTCTCGAGTTGCAGATGAAGGACCTGTGGGAGAAGGGACCGTTGTCACTCATTCTCGCCCAGAAGCTCCCCCACAGCTGCCTTGGGGGAACGTCACCAGGCGCCATCCCAGTGAGTTCCTTATTCGGCACATCGTGGATTACTCTGTGCCCCTCCAGAGGACAAAGAATCCTTGTAGCAGAGAACGGGACCTCCCACCACAACTCACCCCAACTTTATCTAACCTATCATTCCACCTAGCCCTCCTCTGACCCCCTCACTCCTGCCCCCTCCACCCCCACTACCAGAGGGCTAGACAGCAAGCAGGGGTAGACGACAGACAGTGCTGACCCCACCCCAGCAGTGCGCTAGGAGAGGTCACCCAGGCAGCGGGTCACTAGACAGACTCAGGTCTCCCTCCCAGGCTTCAAACTCAGCCTCGTCTCAGCCAGCCTGACACTGCCTTTGCCCAACGGTATATTCACAATAATCATTCCACAGAACTACTGTTCCTCAAAGTGGCACCTGGCACCCTTGGGCTACCACGTCTAGGATGCATTCCAAAAAGGGTCTGAAAAGGGTGCCTATGATGGGTCAAAGGCATATTGGGGCACAGGCAAGCCAGCCACCCAGGAAAACCTCTCTCCAGATGCCCGGCACATCCCTGTCCTGTCTCCCCACAGTCAGAAAGTTAGCCCAGTGACACTACCCTTATCTTGCTGATGAAGGCACACAGCCTAGTCCCCACTGAAAGTATAGGACATGACACATATGGCCTGGGGCTGAGGCAGGGACAGACCTCGTGCGCAATGAAGCTCTGCACCGCGTTGGTTCGGTCCAGGCAGTCGAGACAATTCATCCGCAAAGTGCCTTTCTGAAAACTTAGGAAAACAGGAAACTCAAATGGTTACAAGTTACATTTGAAGGAGCAATGGCTGTAGCATGATGGCCTATGTTTGACTGGAGACCCCTGAGGAAACTTGCATCAAAACTCACCTCCTCCCCAGTAGCCCACCAGGACCCCCAGAATACCTCCTGATGGACCCTAGCATCCGAGGGACCCCAGCACTGCTGAAGCAGCAGGCAGACCTCAGAGCACACGCTCAGCGGCCTGCACACCTGGGTCATTATAAACACAGTCAATTCTCATTATTTGCCACAGTTATGTTCTAGAATGTTGCCATGAACAATTCTCTAGTTGAACCATTAGCAAATTAGCAAATGCTGAACCATTGCTCCTAGGAGAAATAGAGGGTAAGGTTCCTCTGAGCCTCTGGTCACACATTTTCATCAACTAGTCACCACAGAACCTTGTTTTATATGTGTTTCTGTTTAAAGACAGCTAATTTAATACACATTGTTGATTCATTAACATTGAACTCATGCCAACAGCACTGTAACTCATTCCTGAAGGAAGATTCTCTAACACACCTATTTTCTCCATCAGGCATGTCACTGCCTTCTTGTGCTTAGGAACACCAGATGGCACTTAGCACTATACTTGGGGGCCATTTTAAACAGTGAAATACCCATAAAATGCACAAAAATATGACAAACATGGCACTAAATAGACTATGAAAAGGACACTCGTTTATAGCAGGAGAGCTGGAACGGGAAGGCAGAGCATGGCCTTGCTCCGCCCCTGCTGGGAACGTGCACATTGGATGGCTCAAATTTTTCACGGTTCTGAGCAGGTCTGTAAAAGTACCATGAGTATTGATTTTGGAGTTACGAATAAATTTTAGCAAGTGGGCAAATTTGCAAACACAGAATCTCAATAACGAGGCCTGACTGTATTGTGATTTGAGGAAACTGGACCTCCTTTTTCTTCTGAGCAGGGAGTCCACGTCCCGGCTTCCTTGGGCCGTCAGGGTTATGCCACCTGTCCCCCTTCACTCTCAGGGGTTCTCATCACGGTTTGGACAATAAGTTGTATAGTCACCATGGATCCATGTTTTAACCTAGTTCCCTTTATTAGTAAATTTATTTTGCCATAAAACCATGCTTTACCATCTACTTGCAAAATTCAAAAGCATGTTCTGATTCCAGAAGGGAAAGGAGAAGGCTGGAACCCAGGATCCCCAACATCGCTGAGCCTGTGGCCAGGAAACTGCAAGGGTAGCTAGTAGTGAGGGAGGGCACACAACCCTCCCGCTGCTAGCTCGCCCAACAGCAAGATGAAGACGCAGGCGGAGACTCACCGTGGACTTACATTCTCGCCCTTGGTGAACACGTCAAAGTCATCCCAGTGGAGCTTCAGCTGGGGCCTCAAGAGGTTCTCCAATTTCTCTAGCTTGCCGCCTTTGGCAAACTGATGGAAGTCAAAGTTTATCATAGGCGTGTCAGCAGCATGGCAGGAAGCCCAGAGCAACTTCTGAAAGGGGAAAGGAAGAGGGTGGCAGGGAAGGAGGGAAGGGACGGTGACTGCAAACCTCCTCTCACAGCTGGAATCCCAGTGGCTCACTCACTGGAGTGCACAGTTTAGCTTTAAAGCTTAGAGTGGATCAAGTAGTTATCAGTCCTGACCCTGAAAGGGAAGCACAGAACAAAGACCCCGGGGACAAGACCACGAAGAGCATCTTGCCTGCAGAAGGGAGGAAGGTGCACCTGGGGCAAGACAGCCAGAGTGGGTGTGGCTCCCAGGGGCAGCCCACACCCCTGCACCGACACCACCCTTCCGCAGGGCTCTCCGGGGGGCACCGATGAGGGAAGGGCTGCTCTGTTCTTTGGGCACCCAAGTGACAGGGGCCCATCAGGGACAGGGCAGGGCAGTGGGCTATGGAGCTCATAATCCAGGTCACCGTCGCCCTGGTAACCAGCCCCATCCTGATAAGCGCAAGCCTCTGGGTGGGTGTGCTCAGAAGCAGCCAAGTGTCCTGGCCGGTCCTCCGGGCCCCTTGAGAGGATGTGCAGCCCAATGAAACTTCAGGATGGGGGAGACGAGTGGCGGGGCCAGTGGGCCCAGCCTGCACACAAACTGGAATGGAGGTGGGGCCGGAGATGGGCAGGCACAGCAGGTAGGCACCAGGCAGAGGCCTCCCTTCCACACGAGAAACCTCAGCTGACAACTCCTCAGCTCTCTCGCCAGACAGTAAAGGGTGAACCGGCTGCCTTCCCAGGGCACCTGGCCTCAGGCCTCCCCCACCCCACACCCTCCTGCGTGGCTTCAGGTCAGACTTGTCCAGCATTCGCCCGTCCAGAGAATCTAATGACCTTGAAGGAAGGACTTTGGGCTGTCTGGTCCCTACAACTCAAAAGTGCCCATCCACCATGAGCCAGAATGCAAATCAGTGCGTGCTGCCATCGTTAAGAAAGTCTTGCTATGAAGAAGAAGTCAGCTGAACTGAACAGTGTGCTGCTTAGCTGGCTTTATGTTCTAGAGCAAGTGCCTTGTCCACTTGTGGCCTGACAACTGCTGGTCTCAGGCCGGCCCCCGCTGTGTGGACCTCAGCGTGGCAGAACTGACGAGCTGAGGGAGCCAGAGCCCAGTCAGATCTCCCCCAAGTGGAGTGTTCACCTCTTACCTCCTACCTGCCCAGGAGCCTGCCCTCCCCCACCTGGGCCATGGGACCACTGCCATCTCCTGCCCCTCTGTGACAAAGAGCCCACCAGCACAGGGGACACTTCCACCAGTTGACACAGGGGCTGAGGACGTCCTCTCTCCATAAGTCAAGACACAAAAGGAGAAGAGATTCTTGGGGTTTTTTTTTTTCCTTCTTCCTTAAAATAAGCTGCCAACATTGCTGCCAAGATGGGTGGGAGGGGAGATACTTCCCAGCTTGTTGCCAATAGCAACAAACCAAACAGGAAAAGCAGGTCTGCCCAAATGAAACTGGCCACCAGAAAGTCTGCTCCAAGCACGTGGCTTTTCTGAGCAGAGAAATGAGCAGCAGCTGGATTCAGCCTCCACCAGCCAGGAGTCAGGGGTCGGGACAGCAAGGAACACGCAGAGGTTGGCCCTCCCTTCCCACTGAGATGAAGTCGCACTTCAAACTCTCTCCATAAGGGGCTTCCTTGAGCTTTGAACAACCAGAGGGCTTTTCTCCACTAAGCTGGGGGCGACTGAGAAAGGACTGTGGAGGCACCCACAGCTCACTCTGGAGCTTTTAATGTAGCAGACTGAATACGCATGGGCGCTCTGGAACAGGGAGAGACCTGGGAGAGGCCGGTGGACACTTCGCTCCAACTGCTGCCTCCCCTGTCCAGGGCCTCTCCCTGCACCTCCCCTGAACATGGCCCAGGAAGCCTTGGGGAGCCGGGCACAGGAAACAGCTTTCTGGGGCAGCCCAAACAAGGATGGAAGGTTTGAAGGCTCCAGGTTAGCAGGAGGAAACCATGTAAGATTCTTTGCTTTAAACCAAGCCAGAGCTCTAACGAGCCACTCCAGGCACAAGTGCCCTGCGGGTGTGTCGGGGAGCTCGCCAGGAGGTGCCAGCCAGCAGCTGAGCCACACCAAGGAAGGAACGGGGAGCTCGGGCTCCCCGAGCAGGTCAGGGATGCGTGGGATGAAGCCCAAACGTGTGCGTGTGCACGTGTGCATGCATGTGTGTGTGTGGGGGGGGAGCCAGGAGGAAGTACAGCTGGAGATGGGAGATGCTTTGTTTTGACTTTGAGAAAATTCTCCCAGCCACCAGTTCATAAAAATTAAGCTTCATACGTCAGGAACCCAAATTGCCTAATGCTGAAGAGCTGTGGAAAAAAACCTCAAACATGGTGAAGGTAATGAGAGCAGCGCAACTGTTTCCAGTGCCCACAGAAGCCTGCCTCTGGGCAGGGCCCTGGGCTCCCTCACTGCCCGCCCCCCGCCCCCAACCCCTGCCCATGTGGAGAAGCTGGCAAGGGACAGGGTTTACCTTGAAGGCTCTGTTGAGTACCTCCTCCCCGCCTCTGCTCCCCAGCAGGTTCACGACCACTTGGTTCCCATACTGCTCCTTCAGAAGCACCATATGCCTGCAAGGGAGCAGGGCAGCACGTGACCCCATGTGGCCAGGCACAGGGGAGAGGGTGTGGAAGGGACCCACTGGGCACTAGAGGTCCAGGATGAGCCATTCCCCAGGACCGGAAGTGTGGGAAAATGAGCCCAAGAGATGGAGAAAACCAACCTCTCCCAGCCCCTTGGCTGCTCACTCAACCCCACTGTCAGGTACAAGCACGTCAACAGTCTGTTTGCATGAAGGCACGACCAAGAGTAACTCACAGCACACCAGACGTCTACACAAGCATAATATCAGACGAAGGATATGCTGGACTTTCTTTAAGTACCCCCGGGAAATCCAGAACAGCTAACTTGGCCTTTCATTAACAGAACCTTATAAATGTGACATGCATATCTCTGAAATCAATTTCTGGTTCCACTTGGTACCTTCCTTCTCAAAACTGGAGAAACTGGTAGGAAAGCTGTCAACCTCAGTGTCCAATTTTTTATCTAAGTGCTGCATTTCATTATGTTTAACCCAAACAAGAAGGCACACCAAAATTTCAGGCTTTAGGAAAATATTTGTGCATCAGAGACTATTTTTTAAATACACATGTTGAAAGATTAGGGAGAGACTCTAATATTTATCCTTTATCACCAGCTTTTGAAAAGGAACTTTACAATTTTAATAACGTTAGAGATGTTTACACGTAGTTTTTCTTTTGGTGAGGAAGATTGGCCCTGAGCTAACATCTGTGCCAATCTTCCCCCATTTTGTATGTGGGCTGCTGCCACAGCACAGCCTGATGAGTGGTGTGTAGGTCTGCACCCAGGATCCGAACCCAGGAAACCCAGGCTGCCAAAGCGGAGCGCGCCAACTTAACTGCTGTGCCACCGGGCCAGCCCCAACATGTAGTTTTTTTTAAAAAAAAAAAGAAAAAGATAATGCAAAAGGCAAATGCAAAATTGTATTTTAATAGTGTGATCGTATGCCTAAATATAGAAAAAAGACTGGAAGATAACACTCCAAGACGTTAAAAGTGGTGGAATTTTATGTGATTTAAATTTTTTTTCTTCTTTATATATTTTTGTATTTTCCAAATTTCTACAATGAATGAAGTGCCTCTTTTATGAACGGATTTTTAAAAGTTTATTACAAAAGAACCATTTTTAGCCCAATAAGAGAAAAACACTCTTACTAACTGTGTGCAGTAGAAGAATATGGATTCTCAAGTGGGTAGTTTAGGTTCCTCTGCTGACGAGTTAAGGGTGAGTCCACCCCCAGCTCCTGTCTCTGTGTGGAGGAATTCTCCTAGAAAGATGCTCCTGGCAGCCTGCCCTCCCTGTAGTCTCTCCTCGGGGAAGAAGAGGGCTTGAGGAGATGGGGTAAAACAGGCTCTGCACACGCGGACAGGCTGTGCACTGTCCCTGGACCTGTGCAATGTGGCAGCCCTGGGTGAGAGAGCCAGAAGAAACGAGGTGTGCATAGGTCGGCCCCTCTGGGCCCTCTTTTGGATCTGCATGCCCGTAGAAGATGCATCCTGGCCTGAGGGCCACCATGTGGAGCCAAAAGCAGGCTCTGCTCTGGTGGGCAGTCTGGGCTTCTCAGCTCTGCCTGTCATGGAGACCCTTTGATTTGGCGCTGAAACGCCAAATTGAAGAAGTGCAATATGGCCACACATCCAAGCCGTGTCCCACAATGCAGCTTATCAGAAATAAGGCTGATGTCTCATCTCCAAGTGCCTGAAGCCTGCACCTAAGTCTCAAGTGGTTCCAAATTCCAGGGTTGGAAGAGAAACATCATCATTCATGTCCCCAGCCCCAAATACCCTCAATCACATTATTCATCCCTTCTGAGCTAGCTCCTTTGTCTGTACCATAAGGCTAATCCTCCTTACGTAAAGAATGGTTCTGAGGACTAAAAAGACGAGGAAAAGTGACAAGTACAGTGCTTGGCATATGGGAGTTGGTTTTTCTTTCCTTCCTTTTAATTTAAAAATAAGATAATACGCTTATTGTTGATAAATTAAAAACTCATTTCACTGGCTCCAAGGGGAAGAGTCTCGGAGTCCACACCGAGGTCAGTGAGGTGGCTCTGTGCATGTAGGGTCTTTTTCACTCTCTCTGCGCATATGTGACTGTTATATGGAGTTTCCTGGAAAACCGTGCAGTTTTTCAGGACATTGAGGAGTCAGATTTCCATTTGGCAACATCCTTCTCATGATTCAGGGCATCACTGAGGGACCAATGGTTAAACACCCCTGATGCCCACACAAAGAATCCGGACATAAGCAGCTCCACGCAGGTGACAGAGGGAGGAAGGAGCAGAGCTTCAGTGTCCCACAATGGTGAAAGGTTAATTCTTTCATCAACTCACAACCACGCTCCGCAACAAGATCCTCCTCTAGCAGTCACAGCCAGAGGCTGCTTAAAACAGCCCCTTCCTTCAGACAGATGGCAGATAAAAGAACACAGTGAGGAACCTGGATAAACAGTACAGCACTGACAGTGGGAAACAAGCATGCTGTGGGTATTAAGACTACCAATGTAAAGGGTATTTGTGGGGGTGGGTGGGGAAGGGATTTACTCTGGACTAAATACATCGAAGAACTCAAACTCTTGAGAGAGAGCCCTGTGATGTCCCAGAGATTTGGGGCATCCTTCTAGGGGGTGATGGCAGCCCCGCTGCTCAGGGGAGCCCCCAGCGCTCCACCATGGTCTATTAGAGAAACACGTGATCTCACTTCCAAACCCCACTGAGGACAACACAGTTCACAACCAGCATGAGAACAGGCAGCTCTTTCCACTGGGAATGTAATGCTGCTCAATTCTAGTCAACCTTCATGGTTAGAACGCATGAAAAAAAGAAACTTACTGTAAGCCAAAAGTTTAAGCAGTTGCTGCTTGAAAAAGAACTTACTACAGTTTCAGAAAGTTGTTTGATGATTTGCAAAGAGATTAAGTTTACCAATGGATGTGGGGAAGAGGGGCTTGTGAGAAAAGAGAGAGCTTATTCTCTCGAGTACACACACACACATGCACGCACACACGCACCATATACTAACAGGATTTAAAAAGTTTTAAGTCTATGTAAATGTTCTTAAAATATTTTTTGGGGGGTCAGCCCCGTGGCATAGTGGTTAAGTTCAGCATGTTCCAGTTTGGCAGCCTGGGTTTGCAGGTTCAGATCCCAGGCACAGACCTACACCACTTGTCAGCCATGCCGTGGTGGCAACCCATATATAAAGTAGAGGAAGACTGGTACAGATGTTAGCTCAGGGCTAATCTTTCTCAGAAAAAAAAAAAACAAACTTATAAATACATGAACCTTTTGAAACAAGCCCAGCATGCCCCTTCCCTTTTGCTTCTGGTCAGCTCAGGAAGAATTTCATTTTCGGTTATATGTTGACTATTTCCTAAGAACATTTAATATAGCTCAATGTCACCTAAAAGAACTCTATATGCACAATGTGTACAACACAATAATAGTGTTCTGAGGAAAAGGCAAGAGTGTTTTCACTAATAGATTATACATCTCTTTCCAGTAAAAGCTCACCATTGGTAACATGCTAATTAGGGGGCACAGCTGGGCTGGTGTTAGCAGATTTACAGTAAACAAGAAGGCTGCAAGCAAATTTAAGGTCCAAATGAAGCGTCAGGTGGAATGATTAAAACATTTTCAAAATTATGCTTTGAGAATTTTATTACATTCACTAAGATAACTTTTTAAATTAGTATTTAGATTAAAAAAGCAAATATTTTAAGAAGCTATTAACTATTTCAAGTACAAATTACTAACAGTTCAGGTTAGCGATGAAGAAACCTATGGACAGTTAGCCATTAATGATTAGGTAGCTAGTAACTGAAGTTTTTTTGGCAATTATTAATTGCAGTCTTTAGTTGTTTGTCCACTCATTGTTAGCTATGCTGTTTATTTTTAAAAGACAGGTAGATAGGCAATATATTATCTGACTCCTACTAGGTTCCTCACAGACAACTTCCCCCCAACACTTGGGGCACCATGGTAATAGCTGCCTGAGTTGTTTTTCAGGAACTAAGAGTCAACCCCTGGCCGGTTCAGGCTGGTCAAGACCACCAACTGGGCCTGTGCAGGTGTCCCACAGGTGAACTCCAGATGTCAGGGAGCCAAAAACTCCATCCTCAGATCATGGCAATGCCGCCATTTTGTGAACATGCATCCTATGAAGAGCCATGAAGCTTGACTACGCTTGTGCAGATCATCAATTACTTCACTTCTCTTTACCTTCAATCATCTATCCCCACACTTCAGACCACCCTCCCCCCTTTATCCCAGAAATATCCCTGATCCCCATTTTCAGGGAGGCAGATTTGAGATTCATTCTCCTGTCTCCTCGCTCGGCTGCCTTGTGAATAAACCCTTTCTCTGCAGCAAACTCATCGTCTCAGTGATTGGCTTTTTGTGTGACAGGCAAAATGAACCTGGTTCAGCAACAGTGGCTCTTCTTAAGCAAGTTGCAAAACAGTAAGTGTGTTATGATCCAATTTGTGTTTTAAAAAATGAACTATGTATATATCAAAATTTTTTCTGGAATGATACAGAAAAAACTAATAGTAAAATCTCCAGTAGGAATTGGGAGTAAGAATACTTTTATTTCTCATTTTATACCTTTCTATACTGTGACTTTTTACAACCTGGGACTATACTACTTTTAAAACAAAAACAAATAGCTACAAATATCCTATAATTTAGATTACCACTTATTAACCAGGACAAATGGATAAAGCTTCACTGAAGAAGAAACTGATAAGATAAAATAATTGCAAAGTGTTACCTGAGCATTTATTAATGAACCTTCAGGGAAACCTGAGAGTAAGTAAAAATTCTTACTTATAAGTAAGTAAACTCCCTTCTCGCATAAAGAACCAAAGGAAAAGGCAGATTTAGAGTCCAGATTTGGGGTCCTCCCTTCCCACTGCACCCTGTCCCCTGTGCTGCTGTCTGGGAGGAAGACTCCTAAGGATGACAGGCTTAGGATGGGGTCAGACAACCCTACCTGTCAAAAGCAGGGGCGTTGGCTTCCAGGCCTCTGTTGAGTCTCAGATGATGAGAGCCAACCTAAAGCAAAGAGAAATAACACAAGTGATGTCTCCTGCTCTGTGAACCCAGGAAGCAATTGTTTCCCCCTCCCCCTTCTCACTGCCAGCCAGCACCATCAGCTTCTCACTGCACACAGCAGCCACTCGGCCCCCTCCGTGGCCCATTCACAGCTCAGGAAGGCCAGGCCATGACCTCAGGTCCTGAAGCCGAGTCTGGCTCTGCTGCAGCCCAGTCCCAACTGCAGCATGGACCATGCCGGCTGGAATTCTTCCACAGACAGAAGAGAAACTTCAGGGTAAGACCATGAGGCCCACATCAGATCCGCAAGCCCTTCCACAGTGCAGAGGGGCAGCTAAATAAGCCAACCGGGGAGAGACAAACCACATCTCAGCCTTCTCTGCAACTCTAGGGAGCTCGACTGCCCCCAAATCTGAGTTATAACTACCTGCAAACTAATTTGCCTTATTATTTAGAACTACCTATTTAACACTGGAAGTTTAAAAAACTAACTTAAAACTATGTATCGTTATTAGAGCCAGCTTGAAGGAGCTCTCTCTGGACAAATCTGGGACAATTTGAGCATTGAACTATATAAGGACAGCAATGGATTATAACCTGATGAATAAAATAGGAATCCATGAATCTATACAGATGAGAGCTGGCTGGACAAGTGGATAGATGGATGGGTGAGTGGGTGGGTGAATGGGTAGATGGGTGGGTGGATAACTGGGCAGGTGGATGGGGGAGAAGGGAGGGCTCTTCCTTACAGTAGAATACCAACAGATAAATGTGGAGAAAGTGGTGGAAAATTGTCATTTTATAACCATCATACTAAAGAATTGTTTAGCAAAAATCATCCATTGATCATAATGTTAAGGGAAAGTTTGAGGAGGAGTAGGATACTTGCATAATCTCAGAGTCTCCCATAGATGCTTACCAGGTGAAAAGAAAAACATATTAACTATAAGTGAAGAAACAGAACAGCACCTTGCCCAGGTGATCAAAATTAACATCACTACAGAGGGACAGATGGACACTGTGGGCCTCCAGATGGCACACCCTGGAAGGACGTGGTGTCAGGGATCCATACCCTGAACCTGATCATAATGAAACACCGGGAAACCCCCAAACGAGGCACATTCGATTTAAAGAAAAAGGCCTGCACTCTCCCAAAATGTCAATGTCACAAGAGACAGAAAGGCAAAGGAACTGATCCAGACTAAAGGAGCCTAGAGATGTGACAACTAAATGCAGGATGTGATCCTGGCCTGAAGGGGAAGGGGTGTCATGACAGACATTACTAAGACAATTGATAAATCTAGAATATGCACTGCAGATTAAAGTATTGTGTCAATGTTAAATTTCCTAAATATGCACTTAAACCGTGGTGATATAAGAGAATATATTTGCTCTCCGGAAAAACATCCCGACATATTAAGAAGATATATGATATATGCAACTTACTCCCAAATGGTTCACAAAATAATGGCATATGCGTATGTGGCAAGATGCTAACATTTAGTGACTCTGGGTAGAGGACAAATGGGATTTCTCTCTACTGGTCTCACAACTTTTCTGTAGGTCTGAAATTATTTCAAGACAAAACGTTTTTTAAAATGTACTGTTTAGTCTTGCTTGTTATTGAGCATTGTAAAAGCGGTGTCATTAGATCCATCCACATCAGATGTGGTTATTACTGAGTATGAATACATCTGCCCCTCTTCACACCTGAGGAAAGTATCCATCTAGAAAACTGGTTTCTCAGCAATAGATTTAGACATTACTGGGATTAGGTTTGCACATCTAAATGATTCTACAAATAAAGTCCCAAATCCCTTTTAGTCCTAAGAAACCTTGCGAGCTCCCAAGAAAGGCTCAACCAAAACATCTTCATTTTGTGCTTACTCTGCCCTCCTTTCCCGATGGCCATCAACACCTGCAAGATACTTAATTCCAAAAGCTTTCACAGCCCTGAGTTCTGAGAAGACTGCTCCACCCTACTCTCCAAGGCAAGTCAGCTCTGTCTTTCTTCTGAACTTACAAGGAAGGTGCTGGAGGAAAGTGGATCTATGCCCCTCTCAGGAACACTCTGATATTCCCGAAGGCTCAAACCCAAGAGAAGGGGCTGCTTGCTCCATGTCAGTCTGTCAGTCATCACAAGAAATCTCCCCTGGCCTCAGGGATAAGCCGCAGCTGTTTCTAGAATCGTTCCCATGGGAACACAGAAAGAGGAGACTAGAGAAACCAGAGTTCAGGGCTCAGAAGCCTGGGTTTTAGTCATGACAAGTTCTCTTCCTGGACACGTCTAACTGTCTCTCCCTGAGTCATAACCTAAAGTTTCTTCTCCTAAACAGGTAGAAATTTCAGTCACAGATGACGGGACTCAGGAGTGTCCAATCTCTGGGCTCCAAATTCCTCCCATTATAAAAATTCCATAACCAGTCCAGGCCTGAGTTAGTGAGCACACCCAGACACCCCGAGTCAACACGGTTCTGGGAAGGAGACGGAGGTCCCTGCATTCCCTGCGTTGGATGATTCCCACCCAACTGGGATCACTCTAGGAAAGACCTAGAAGCACACTTCAAGGTTTCTAACAGGTCTACATAACAGGTGCAAATTAATCAGACAGAAACTGTGCCCCTGTGTACTGAGAACAAGCAGGAATCTGTGTTTTAACAAGCCCTCCAGGTGATTCCTGCACACACGTGCACACACGTGTATGCACGCGCACACACGCTAAACTTTGAGAAGTGCTGGTTCCAACTTCTTCCTCCATCCCCCGTTCGCTCAAGTTGCAAATGCCTGAGGGGATAAGGAAGCGGGGAAACGAGCTCAGGGGGCTGTGTCCACACCTGTCCAGCCACAGGGCACCCTGTGACCAGGCCCAGCCTGCCCAGGGCTGCTTCCTTGGGCATCATGGCCGCAGGTTGTGTCCCCCCACCTCCTGAAGTGGACAGGGCCGGGGGCAGAAGTGGGGCCTTGCACATTCTCTCAGGAGAGGTCACCCTTCCTCCATCATCTCTTTAGTCTGGCTGCTTAGGCCTCGCGTCCCCCCTACCCCCGTCCCGCTCTGACACTGACCCGCATCTCTCCTCTCTGGTGTCACCTAGTCCTGAGGCCACCGTGTGTCAGAAGCCTCAAGAAGGAGCTTCAGTCAGGGGCTGGAAAGAAACCACTGCTGGCACCAGCACACTTGGACTGACCACCACTGCTATTTTTAGTCTCCTCTCCTTCTCCTTCACCCAGCCTCCTCCCCCTGGCCAGGCGGACCCTTGGCCAACCTCTCCTGTCTAGAGTCGAGTTCACTGCTATAGACTACAGACGGAGCCTTGGGAGTTGGCCATGAGAACAACCCAAGTCTAGAGAACTCCTGGCTGCGTTAGTCGAAGGAGAGTCTGCACCAGCACTTGAATGAGTCCCACAATCACAAAGACATCTCTGAATCTCTCGCCTCACACCCAGATGCTGCCAGCATCTCTCATCTGGATCACTGCAACTGTCCCATCTGGTGTCCTTACTTTCCATCTTCTCCCTCCAAACTAAAACCTGTTACACTTACGTCGAATCATGTCACCCTCCCCTGGAGGTTTCCACCCTTCATGCAGTGGTCCAGTGTGTGCTGGAGGCGGCTCCAACCAGCTCACGAGCTGATTGTGCGTGCATCTCTTCCCAGCTCCAAGTTCATTGGAGTCATCTAGGGGTCTTCAAAAAGTAGATGCCTGACTCCCACCCCCAGACATTGTGATTTAATTGGGATGGCATGAGACCTGGATGTCAGGAGTTTTATAAGTTGCCCAGGTGATTCTAATGTGCAGCAAAGTTTGGGTACCACTCCTTTAGCTGGGGTAAAATGTAAATTCCTTAGTATAACATAAAAAGCCCGTCTTGATCTGGCCCTTGTCTGCCTCTCTAGCCTCACCTCTTGCCATGTCCCCCACGCCTAGGACTGCAAGCAGCCAAGCCAGCGTGATTCTCTGGATTTGCCATGATCTCAGGGGTTGCAACATCTGCCTCTGTGGCTCTCTCTGCAAAGGCTGCCTTCCTTCCCTGGGTGACTCCGTCCTGTCCCTCCCAAGTCAGCTCAGACACCCACCCCTCAGCCTGGGTGAGCCAGCCCTCTCCAGAGCTGCCACAGGGTCTTGGTCTTCCTCTCTCTTGGGCTCTATTCACACAACACTGTCATGTCCTGTCCCCTCCTCCCTGAAGGCAGGGGCTATATCTGATGTCGTGCCCTCATGTACCCACAGATGCTCAATGAGTATGAGACAAATAAAGGTCTTACTCTGGGGTGTCTCTGAGGGCTGGGAGATGCAACAGCCTAGGAGACCAGTCCTTGTGATAGGGAGATATGAGGACACCATCACTACACCTCACAGTGTCCTCATGGGGACTTAGGGGGAAACTCTAAATCCACTCACAAGATGCAAAGAGCCATGAGTCTCCTAATGCAACTTGTGTTCTTGTCTCCTAGATGTTATAATTTATTCATGTTAATAACAATATTAACAGCTACCATTTTTGAGTGCTTTCTAGATACCGTGCTAAATTCTAATATACATTATGATATTTAATTCTCTCCATAACCTTTGAGTTTGGTACTGTTAACCCCATTTTACAGAACAGTAAACTAAGGCTTAGCAAAGATAAATGCTTCTCAGCTTTTTTTTTTGAGATAAGAACATTTTTTTTGAGTTAAGAAGTTTTTCTTTGAGATAAAAACTTCTCAAAAGTATATGGTTCCTGTGGCCGGCCTCGTGGTATAGTGGTTAAGTTTGCATGCTCGGCTTCAGCTGCCTGGGGTTTGCAGGTTCAGATCCCAGGCGTGGACTTAGACCATTCATCAAGCCATGCTGTGGTGGCGTCCCACATACAAAGTAGAGGAAGACGGGCATAGGTCTTAGCTCAGGGACAATCTGCCTCAAGCAAAAAGAGTAAGATTGGCAACAGATGTTGGCTCAGGGCCAATCTTCCTCACCCCCCCAAAAAAAAAAAGTATATGGTTCCTAACTGGGGGAGCCAGAACCTGAACTGGAACCCAGGTCAGTATAACGTCAAAGTTTATGCTCTGGATCACGTGACAGGCTGCCTTGCAACCTTGTTTCTCTCTGTGATGGTGGCTGATAAGCTCAGGACCTTCATGTAAGCACACAAGACCCACAGCCTGCACTGCGCGTGCAATTTTATCTTGGCTTCAGTTGATTTTCATGATAAGTATTTTTCCTCTCACCCAAACCTCTTCATTCTCTTTGAAACTGTTGTGCTACAAGCCATCCCACATCCACATTCTGGTTGTACATCACACAAATGAGCACACACAGTGCCATGCATCCAAGCGCTTAGTAAACAGCCCTTGACAAGGAGGTGGCGAACGCAGGCAACGTGGGAGCAGCAGAGAGGACTAATTACTTTGCATCCTCCTCCAGCTGGCTGAGTCACAGGAACCTTCAAAACACAGACCTACCTCAACCTTTACAAGACATGAGTCTATATATGCATGTTACGGGGGAGGAAGATTCTAAAGTGACAGGTGGAGTGAAATCTTCAACAGACTAACAGTATATAAAAAATATACTCCATAACTATACCAGGAGAGCAATTAGCTTTAAGGGTAAAATTTCAATGTCGCTATTTATAAACTGCAAACCTATTTACATGGTAAAGATGAAATTGTTAAAGGCATATTGTTGCTAGAAATGGTGTCAGGATCCAGGAGTTTGTCATGAAGGTACCATTCCCATGGAAACGTGCAGACAAACCATCATCCCACAGTCCTCTCTGCGTGGCCCCATCCCTGGCAGGGCTCATGGGTTCCCTGGGGCAGCCTCAAGAGGGTGCAACATTGCAACTTAAAATGCAAGCTGTTCACCCAAAAATCTTTGCATTTTTCATCTCATGTGAGTGCAGAAGGAAAGGGAAAAGCTCAAAATGGAGAAAAACAACCAGAATCAATCCTCAGGCTTGCTATCGATAGTTCAGGTAGGGTGACTGTGGACCACCACTGAAAGCTGCCCTCTTTGATGAAGATGACCTAATCTGTCTTTGCTGATGGATGGTATCTAGAGGATAAACATGAGTATTAGACCCAAAGGTTAGCAAATCCTTAATAAGATTAATGAACACTGAAGCCTTTTGAAACTTATTTTGAAGAACCATGGGGGCCCTGGAGAAGCACAAGTGTTATGAATCTGAAAGAGGCTATAGTTGCTAAAAAGTGAGCCACCAGGTTCCATGGACACCGTCTGTGTCAGATCGGGGGACAGCTGCTCCAGGGCAGGGTCAGGCTACATCTGGAGCATCAGGAGGGTTAAGCTGGGGACCAAAATTAAACACGAAAATGATGAATGAGTTTTGCTTTGTTTTTAGAAGGGGGAGACCAGAACATGGAGAGTCCTAGAAATATGACAGAAGACGCCCTAAGGAGCTAGAAAGTCCTAGAGAAGACAAAATGGAGAAAGGGAGAGCCATGAGCATCCTTCTCAAAGGTCTGAGGAATCAGACTTACTCTGGAGTGTCCCCAAACACCCTGTGCACAAACAGTGCGCAATGCAAGGAGGAACTGGCTAATAACACAGCCATCCCAAATCGTGGCCTTGAGCTCAGTGTCTGGAGGTCAGCCTCTCACAGATCCTGGAAGAATGACCCCTGAACTGGGTGACTGGGTGAAACGGATGGATTTCAAAGGGTCCTTCCCAAATTCTAAGGCTACCATGATCAGCCCCCAGTTTTTGGCTTTCTTACAAATTTTCACATGAAATATAACATGGGCTCCCTCTTTTCTTTTTGCACTCTACTCATTTGATCTTCACTTTTTATTTATTTATTTATTTATTTTTTTTTTAAAGATTTTATTTATTT